ATCCTGGCGCTAGGATTACTTCGACCTCTTCCGAGCGAGTGGAATGTCCAAACAAAGTGACTCAACTTGTTGTTTACGACTTTAATGGTCTTTCCGAAAAGTATAAAGTCCAGGAACTCACAGAATCTGGGAATGGGAAAATGGGTATCTTTGCCCCTTCGGGGACTTTCCATGGCCTTGATGGGTTGCCACCAGGGCAAAGCTGGCGATTCGTCACATGGCTCCAACTTTCATTTGGGTCTCTCTTTTTTTTGGGGGGGGAACCCATCTTTTGGTTGGTTTTGAAAGGGAAGCCAAGACATGAAGAGGAAAACAGTTTTTCTTTTGGGGGGTCGGGGCATCTCCTAGCTCGCCCCTAGCGGCGTTCAAGGTGTCCCTGGCAAGTACTCATTGAGGGTCTAAAGATCCACCCAAATGAGACCTCCCGTTTGGGTTGATTTTAATGGGAAGGGGAACTCACTCCCGTGGGTTGATTTTAATGGGAAGGGGAACTCGCAAATGCTTCAGGGTGTCCCCCATTTTAAGACACGCCCAAATCATGTAATATCTCTCTGGATTCCTACACCCCTGCTGAATTTTGATCCGGGGGCGCGGCGTGTTTCTGTGACATCCATTTCTCACCACGGAGGAGACTCTATACTGGCAACCTCTGGAGGAACCAGTTGGAGGAAGCCTGCTGTCATTTGTTTCACGACTTTCCTTTGCAAAGACCTAAGCCCATCCCCGGAAATCAAGTGGGCGAAGAGAGCCTACCCCCTTTGGTGTTGCTGTTGTTTGCTTGTTTGTCTTTATGTTGCTTTTGCGTCGTCTTTATGGGTTCGGGGGAGCAATACACAGCTGGCTGTTTATTTTTTATTTTATTTTTCACTCGTCGGCTTCGTTCAGGTCAGCCGCTGGTCGCCCAGTCCTCCTTCGCCATGACCCAGGCAGCTGCCACTGAGGCGCCGTAGCCGCCGAGCCGCGCCTTCAACAGCACCTGGCTTGGATTGGGTAGACCATTTCAATACCGGGTTTTGATGAACTTGGTGCATGAGTTTGGATTTTAAATAGTTCTAAGGGTTGATTCCCCATTCTTTTCAAGCATCGTTCTTTCCAAAAAACCGAATCCGTTTTCAACCTGGGTTTCAAAGGAGGTTTTCTAGAAAGAAGAATCACTGGAAGGAATGGGGAAGGTACCCCTAGAGTCATGTGCGTCTCCTCTGAGGTTCCGCTTTTGAGTTGCTATTTGAAGGGATACGAAGCAACCACCTACCATGTTAGGTGACCCTTGGTGGTGGTGGTGGTGGCGGCAGCGGCGGCGGGCGGCGGTGGTTTGATCAAACATCTGCGGGCAGCTGTCATTTACAAGGTCAAAATTTACGCAGTCCCCCTGGATTTTGTGGGACATTTAGTAGCGAATCACCCCCCATGCGGGGCCGAAACTAAGGGATCTGGCAAAATACCTCCCCTTCCAAAGGGTCGACTTCATTGAAGTACCCCTCGTTCAAACACTTTTCAACCGCCTTGTGCTTGAACAACCTCCTTTTAAACACCCTGCTTTGGGTTTCCCTTTAAAGGGAACCAGGGTTTGTGTGTTCAAGCCAAATTGGCCCCATCCCGGCTTCCCTTCCCCTCTTGCAAGGCACCTGCTCCGCACCCTCGCCGCCGACTCCGCCGCCCTCGCCGCCGTCTCCGTCCCCGTCGCCGCCGCGAGATTTGGGCGAAAAGCCGCGGAAGCTGGGCAAAATGGACCGGCCACGTCCTTGAAACGGACAACTGGCGCAGACCGGTTGTCACCTTTTCACGGAAACCAGCCACTCGCTCCCACAAACGAGGTGAAGGAAGAGAAAGGAGCCCATCGCAAGTAACACTGATCCGTGATCCTTCTGGGTTGTCTGGGCGGACTGTCCTGATGTTTCCCTCTTGGTTTTCCTTTGAAGCCCGTAAGAGGGTAGCCTGACACAAAGCAAAAGCGCAAAAATAACATGGTAACACCGCAGCAAGTGGCAATCGATCTCACCTCTAGAGCCGAAGCCGCAGCATGTCCGAATGCAGCTGACCCAACGACTTTGTTCGTAGCAAACCCCAGATTCTAGTGGGGAAGGGGCGTCACACCCAACTTTTGTGCCATGTTCAATGTAACCCGAAGGGATAAGCCTCAAGGACAGCTTTCAGGGGAACGAAAATCCTTTTACCCTTTGCTTGCCGAGACCTAGAAGCCCTGCATGGAGACTTTTGCTGGGAAAATAATAGACGGCCAACAAGGGCCCAGGATCTTTAAAGGTCAAGTCTGGCAATGTTTAAAAGCCGGAACACCCATGTTAACAAGCGATGGGCAGAAACCACAACCGATATGAAATCACTCCTTTGGGGTGCCAGGAGCTTTCCTTCAATGCAGGTTTGCCCTCCCTTCCCCACCGGATGGTGGACAAGGATTTCAATGTTGCAACCTTCTCATAGGATATGTATGTTTTTGTTAAGGGCATCTCTTGGCCACAAAAGACAAAACCAATCTCCCCCGATAGGGCCAAACTCCAAACACTATATCGGCAGCCAAGTGGCAAAATCCAGGAACTCATTTGAGAAGGCCCCCCCCTGCTGTCCATGGCACCTCCCCCCCCCACCCCGTTTTTGGCCATAAAAAAAACGCGGCCAACCAGAAACTCTTGCCACATCTTGCACTTGACTCGTTCTCTGCGAGGGTTTTCACCCCGAAAACTCTTAGGGGCGGTCCTGCAGCTGCCTTGCGCCCCAACGCTTTCTTGTCGAACATGGCGGCCTTTGGCTTGGCCCTGTCTTTGGCCTTGCCCTTCGGCGGCATTCGAAAGACTTAGCGCTGAGTACGGATCTCTCTCTGCCGCTCTGTAACTGTCTTCAACCAAAAAGTGCCTCAAGTCCGAAACGGAACTCGATCGGAGCTGCGCAAATCAGCGCTGCGAGTCAACCCAATCTGTGCTGAGCCACAGGCTGCGCGCAAGCACAAGCCCAAAGGCCCGGAAGGCCGAAAAAGCCCATCGCCATTGGAATGGGCCCCTTTGGGCGTGGACAGAAACCGTCAACCTTTCTCCTCGTCAACTGCATCGAGTTGGAGCAAATGGAGCACTTCCCTGGTCGAAAACCAGAGGTGTATTCATTCCTAGAGACTCCATGACCCTTTAAAAATGGGTCATGACCCCTTAATTTTGGGCAGTGACCCCATTTTTTAAGGGTCATGGAGAGTCTAGGTTCACTGGGTTGATGACATTAACCACTGAAGGCACTCTGCTCCGGTCCCAAGTGCGCGAAAATTCCCATGCCACTGAGAGCCTTTCCTAGGCATTCTTCTCGCGATCGAAAGCGAGTGGATGGCTAAACAAAAAGCAAGTCACCAAACTTTTGGCTAAACACGTTTCATGGTCTTCCAAAAACCCAAGGTTTAACCGGTACCCAACCCTTTGGCTTACCACTAGGTCACAAACAAAGTTTAAAAGTTCAACAGGGATCCTTACATTATACACCTGATCATGGCAACTTGTAAATGGTGGTTTCCATTTTTTGGTGTTGAAAGAGCAACATGTTTCAATTGGCTGCAAGATGTTTTTTTGTTTCCCTCTTTCGGAGCCCTGTTCAAGAATGCAGGCACTCCTGGAGGCCCAATTGATACAGAAATTTGTGCTCGAATGTTTTTGGCACAAAAAGTGCTTGAAACGTTTCTGGGAGCCAGCGACTTGGCGCTAGTGTAGTGACCAGAATTTGGGCAGTTGTTGAAATTGCGCTCGGTTGCCCGAGTTGCGCGAAATTGCGCCCGAAGTTGCGCCGAATTGCGCTCGAATCGCGGTGCGCATTTCGGGCCAAGCCGTCTTCAAAACTATTCGTTTCCAATCGGGCAGAAAAAAGCACTCGAACTCCGAAAGTGCAATGGAGCACTTTTTTCTGTATCAATTGGCCCTCCAGGCTGAGTTCTCTGAAAGCCAGTGGACCTGATATTCTTGCAGCAAAGCATCCGACTCAGCGTGAAAGTCATGCGGGTGGCATTTCGAGAAGCGGGTGACTACCACGAAACCAAACCCGAAAAGCCAAGAAAACCCAAAGGGATGGCTGAGGTTGAACCAAGGTCCAGGAACGGAGTTGTTCTGGGTCCAAAATTAGACCAGGAGACTTGGTTGACGTTGGGTTTGGGGAGCAAAAAATCAAACTTTTTTTAGCAGTTAAGTGGTTGGAGTTCAAGCACTGAACCACAATAAGCAAAAATGTAAAATGTTTCCCAACAACAACCATGATATGACCCTTAAAAAAGGCCGCGCCTGGAACCAATGCAAACACAATGCCGTTCAGATTATGCGCTGCGCTCAAAGGGTCCTGGTTACTGGATAACCTCCAGGAAATTCGATTTAAGAGAATGCAAAACATGCAAGGGATCCCTAATTGCTGTCCTGTGAGCAAAATGATCAAACCTGAGCAACCAAATCGAACTTGGGCAAGTAAGACCTAGGATACAGTTCCAAACACCTACATGCGGAAACCGATTGAAACCCCGGTAGAAGGTGGTATACAGAATTATTTGAACGATACGTCCAAAAACCGCCTGCTTTCTCTTGGGAATCCTCCAACTCAGCAGGTGAATTTTGAAGTGGCCCAAAACTTGTATCCTTGGGACCCTGGTGTCTTTCTCACTTCGGAGTGGGTTGGCCAAGAAAACAGTCGAGACACTTGTTGTTTACCACTAAACAATTGCAAGCAAACCCCACCAGTACAACAAGTCCAGCAGCTCACGGAGCTTTCGGCTTTTCATCCGTGTCTCTCCCATCCCCCGAAGATCTTCCAGCGGTTTCCTCGCCGCAAAGGTGTGGAAAATGGAATCCACTTCTGTGATACAACCAAAAGGGCCTCCCAAGTCACTAACCCCCCATAAGAGGGATTCCCAAAAGTATCATAACCCCCCCCCCCAAAAAAAAAGAAAAAGAAACAACACCAGGAGTGGTTGAATCAACCCGCAATCCACAGGGGTTGGAATTTCAGCCTGGGTGATCCACCACCCTCGCCTCGGACGGGGTGCCCAAAGCGCTCAGCAGCTGCGCTGCGCCCAGCAGCTGCCGCTGGGCCAAAAGCTCCAGGAACTCTGCGGCCTCCGCTGACCCGTCGTGGCCCAGCCTCGCTTAGCGGCGTCGGTGGGTGTTTTGGGGGCGCTTGGTGGACGTTTTGTTTGGGGAGCAAAAAAACTTGATTTTGTTGGCAGTTAAGTGGTTGGATTTCAACCACTGAAACACCATAAGCAAAAATGTAAAATGCTTCCCAACAACAACCATGTGAGGAGGTAAGGGGCTGACCAAAAGGGGCGTGGCTTTTTCGAGGCGAAGGGTTGTTGGAAGACGGAAACCAACGCTTCCATGTTTTCGTTCCGCCCCGGGGGAACAAATGAGAACATATTGTCCAGCAGTGAAACTGCGTCCTGTTAAAACCAATAACGGAAAACAAGACATATTCTGAAACGCGCATGCATGGAAGTAACAGGTACTTCCTGGTTCGATGTGAGAAACGGAATCACCCCAAAACAAAAACATCCCAACACCCAGAACGGTCATTCCGTACTGAGCACCGGCAAAGGGGCTTCCTCAATGTCTTTTCCCGCTTCCGAAGGAGCGGACTGGTCAGAAAGAGCAGCCAAACTGTTGGTGTACCAGCAAAATGGGTGTGGCTCAAAATTAAACTTGAGGGGTTACGCAGGTTTTGGCCCATGTTTCCACTTGCCAGGGTTCCATTTTGGTACCGTTTTTTTGAGCCACAGCCAAATGGTCTTCCCAAAAAGTTTAAAGCTGGGGAACTTAGGACTCAGGCAGCTCCTGTTTAAGGTAGGTTTTGCGGGCTTGAAACTCTCCCAAAAAAGTTGGTAACCCCGAAAAAAAAAAAAAAAAAAAAAAAAAAAAAAAAAACTACACTCAAATGCTTCCTTTGCATCCGCGGGTTACCAGGAAAACCCATCTGTTGAGTGGGTTATAACCAGCAGAACCCAAACATTGAGCGACTTCTTTTCGATGAGTGAAATTATTTGTCTCCATGAGCAGAATGGTTTAGGTTTCCTGTTGGTTCCCTACCAAAACAAAAAAACAATCAGAACGAACAGGGGAGCCTCAAGAAGATGAGACTCAAATGGGAGACGAGGTTCTCATGATCATAAGTTGGGACCCCCTAGCACCGGAGTTCTGATCGAACAATTGCAAAACAGAACCGCTGAAAAGGTTCTAAGAACCCTTCCAAAAAGGTGCGGATTTGGGCCCCCTATAGGTTTCTCCCCTAGAAGAACCCTCAAAATCTAAGCCGTTGGGCAACCCTCAAAATCTAACCCTCCATCGTTTGGAGGGAAATCTGCAAACCCAACCCCCCGGCCACTCATGATCAAAAGCCAATGGGAATGTGTGGCTTTCCTTTCAACCTCCTTCCGATCGAGTGGGTCGGCATTAAAAAAGTCACCACACTTTTTGGGAACACTTAAATGGCAACCGAACCCGGAAAACAGTGACGATCAAGTCCGGTGAACGGAGTAAGCTTCTTTAGCCTCTGGCTCCGTCTGCATGCACAAAAACCGCTCTCACTCCAAAAGCTGAATTCAGGGATCCCCAAGTAAAGGTGAGTCCGTTCTACCAGAATTTCAGTGAGCCGGCTATACATAGGCAGCTGCAGTCCAACATTTTGCCCAGGCACCACACCGCGGAGGACTTCTCAGCACGGACCCTTTGTCGCGCCCCCCGCACCTCGGAACGCATTGACGCACGATATTCGATGGTTCGACGGTCGAGTGAGCTAAATTGTTAGTAGCCCTGGTCACTTACCCAGGATGGATTTGTAAGTCCCAACCAGGGTTGCTCATTATTTAGGGGAGTGCCCCATCTAAGCATGAACCTTACTTGCGGCGCGTTGGTGGACATGATGCATTTGTAATTTCAGAATTATGCATATAAAAATATTGGGGGGGGGTATGTCCACCAACCAGGTAGGCTGTTCCACAGAACATTCATTCCCATTTGCCACCTCCCAACTATATCCAATCTGTAAAATCTAGAATGTCTAGGGGTCCCTTTGCCGCCGGAAACCCAGGAAAATTGGCTGGTTTTGAAAAGAACGTCGGTTGAACAGAAGGGGGATCAACCCTTAGAATATGTCCAAGACCCAAATCAAGCAATCTCAACAAGCATGCATGTTTGAATCGGTGAGCTCCTTTGTGCGATTCCTCGAATCGGTGGAATCGCTCGCGGATTCCCAAAAAAATCGGCACAAGTCTTTGCCGCTAGAACACGTCCGGAATGCCCCCACCTCCATTCAGATGCCACGACTCCCAATTGGGTCTTAAGGTGGTGGTCTAAAAGTGATGGTGAAAGGGCGGGAAAGTGACTGAAACCCAGCGAAACCCTACAAGCAATGCGACAAAGGTCATCTTATCCTCTTTGGAGCTCGGGCACCTTGGAAACATGAGTCCCCAAATGATGACCACCCTGTATTTCTGGGGTCTCCAAACATGTTTTGAACCGTTTTTGGGGTTGAAATATGGAACAGAGCCAGAAATTATCGATTTTCTGTCTACAGTGGGCCAAGGTATCAACCTTGGCAGTTCACTTTTTGCACGCAAGTGTAACTGGATGTGATTCGGGCACGAGCCTGTGCCCAGGCAATGGGTAAGTTGGGGTAAACAAGCCACAAAAGAAAGGTTCCCCAAAAGCAAACCAATCCCCGGTCCCAAAGATCAGGGTTTCCCACACACCAGAGAACAACAACCAAAGGAAAACAAACCAAACAAGAAAAGGGTTAACCCGCAACCTTGGTCGACAACAGGCCGCACGACTGGTCCCTACCAACCTGGCGGCGGCCCGAGGTCTCTTTCTCCCCCGAGATGCCGTCGGTCGACGCAGGGGTTCGGCGACGCCCATTCGAGGCGCGACGGAACCCAAAACTTGAGCCAAAACACCACAGGTCGGTCACTAACGCGACGTCCCTGATGATGATATGAACCATGGCTAATCACACCCCCCTCACGAGGAGCCCGTCATATGACGGGTGGAGCGTGCCATTTACTGATAGGATTTAACTGCTCGCATGCGTCCGCAAACAGCTGGACACTACCGCCGTCAGCGGTGGAGCAAACCCACAAAGGCAGTTGCGCGACATCCCGGGCATTAAATTCCCGCCACCACCCCGAATTAATCGGGGTAACGCTGTCCAACACACCTTGTGGAAAGGTCCACATGACGACACTAGGTCACAACTGTTTGCATCAACAATGCAAGAAGTTTAATTCTTATCAGAAGCCATGAAAAAAAAGATAACGTATGTCCATTAGTACCTTCGCCTAACGGCAAGAGGTACTCCTGACCATGCGTACCTGAATAAAAATGCTTGAATTCTGCAAACCCGGGAGTAATCCCCCATCAGTTTGCTTTCCCTCTCACTCACACTGCTCCCTGATGAACACGTCCAGCAGCCCAGCAGCGGTATGGGAGAGACATGACCTCCGCGCCTCAGCGGTCCGGGAGGAACATCACCACCTCCGCACCGCGCCGACCATTGGAGAACGGACGCAAGCCTATCGGCCGCAATCCTTGTGACTCAGCCTACCGGCTATCGTCACGTCTCCTCCGGTCACGTCCGCCCCGCGCACGGTCCCTATCACGATCCCTCTCGGATCTCCTGCGATCATCTCGCCTTCGATCTCGCTCCCGATCGAGTGATTCATCATCACGACGATCACGAGCATCGTCCCTCCTCCGGTCTCGCTCATCCTCGCGCCGTGGACGGTATCTGCGCCTCCTTGACTCCCTGGAATCCCTGGTGTCCACGGTCCTAACGGACCTCCGAGAAGGAGTACGGGAGACATCCGATTCCCTACGCCTCCTTCCAGAGCGAGAGTTCGTCACGATCTGGTTGAGAGCCTCCAGTGCTGACGCGTCCTCACCATTTCTAATGAAATCCCTGACTTGCTTGTTCAGCACTCTGTTGGTGGAGACCGCCAAAAGAGCGTCCACCACCGAACTCCCAGGCAGCACCAGGAAGTGGCCCTCCACCGGGCTCGCCGCAGTTCGCTCAGCCGACTGCAACCTGATCTCACCGCCTTCAGGCTTCTTTGCCATTGCCTTGGAGGCCGTCAAGGGCGCTACCGCGTCCTTCGCCGAAGATCTGCCAAGCGCGGAGTGAAGATCATCCCCACTAGCCTCTCTCGCTGCCGCACCTGGTCTGCTGTCGACGTCATCAGGCCTTGTTGATGCCTCCCGCTTCGTCGACTCCTTCACAGTCTCATCGGGACCCCAACGGGACTGCCCTTCAGCTGACCCCCGGCTACCGCCAGGAGCATCATCTCCGCCCATCTTCTCCTTCTTGACCTCAACCTTCGGTTCGGCCTGCTTCGTCTCCTTAGCTTCAGCCTTCGGAGCCGGAGCATTCTTCGCCTCAGATGCTGAAGCGGCCTTCCCTTTTGGCTCGGCCTTTGGAACCGGGGTCATTTTAGCCTTCGCACTCGGCCGGGCTCCTTGAACCACCATCTCAACCCAAGTCTTCTTCGGTTGAGTCACAGTTGCATCAACCTCCATCGGAGCTGGTCCAGCATCATCCTTTGCTTTTGCCTTCGGGACAGATGGGCTACCGCCCTTGCCAGATCCTTTACCTGGCACTTCACCTGACTTCGGTGGTGGGCCGGAAGGACTACCGCCCTTACCGCCCTTTTCCCCCTTCTTCCCTTTTCCTTTTCCGCCTTTGATGACCGGCTCCTGCTTGGGACCAGGACCTGGCGCAGCATGATGCACCGATTGAAGTCCCTCGATGTCCACGTTTAGTGGTTCGGGTTGGCGACCATCAAGAACCGTCCTCACCCTCTCGTCACTGACGTAGACGAACGGGTCACGAAAGGGTGCGGGAGGCTCCGACTGTCCGGCACTGATCACCTTCTGCACCTTGGCTATCGCCTCCTTCAACCTCTTCTTCTCATCGTACCCTGTCTCCGACACCATGTACTGCCTGAGCTGCGAAATCAATGCATGGCTTTCCAGGATGTCCACGTCCTTTCGATGGGTCGGATACAATGGGGTCAGATGACCAGCCGCGGAGCCAATCACGTATGCCATCGGGATGTAGAAGGACAAGTACGTGTCATGGCGAGCGAACTTCCTAACGGAAGTCGTCATACGCCTACCCCACTGGGCAGCATGCCTTGGGTTAGCCCGGAAGTACTCCGTAACCGACTCAAATCTATCGACTTGGTTGGTCAAAATCAGGTGCTTCGCCACCCACTTCTCCACGAACGCATCCGATGCCGAAATCCCCGACACATAGGAGAATTGGAAGAGCACCTTCGCCAGCTCATCCCACGCCGCATCGACTCCTCCCTTGTCCTCACCAAGATAAGGGGGCAGTCTGATGCCGCTCTGCACCGTCATCCTCAGATCAGACGCCATCGAATAGGAAATCAAGTTCCTCTTGATGACTCCGACCACTTCGGTGGGGATCCTCTTGGGCTTGAACTGCCCCATGGTCCTCACCCACTCCGGCACGATGTGGCAATTCTCGAAGTCTTTCTCCTCCGCATTGGGGATAAAGTTCGGGTAAAAGACCGGGAGCGCGCATCCAGGACACAAATGCATCCCATTTGGCGTCATCTCCGCGCACCTCAAACAGAACGTGGTAGTCACATTCAACCTGACCTCTTCCCGCGATCGCCTGTGCTCTCCCCTAACGGGGGTGAAGTCACCATAGTCCCATGCCCGATGGTACACTATCGTGTAATCATCGTACATGTAAGCCGCCTTCCATGCTCCCATGTGGATCTCGTTCCTAACGGCCAGAGTCTTCCTCCTTGTCAAAAACACGGGCCCAACCAAGGACCAATGTACCCGAAGGTCCACCATTACCACCACGTACCTACCGGAGTAGTTCCGCAGCCTGTCTCGGACATACCACGAAGGCGATACCTCGGCGTCCGGCGCCATGGCTCCCACAAGTGGAATCAGGCCCTCATCCTGCCTGCCATCCCCAATGGTCTCGTACACATCGGGGTTCGTGATCAATATCTCGATCATGGCCTTTCCGTTTCGCCTCACCCTTTGGAGCTGAACCGCCTTCCGAAAGTCCGAGAACTTCATGATGACGTACCCCACCATGGGGAGTTCATTCCAATGCATCTCGTACATCAGAGATCCGCCAGGTGCATCTTCTTGGGTGTACCTATGCCTAACGGCACTGTAACTCATGTCGCGTCCGATCCGCGTGTGCCTAACGGCCACCAACCTAGTGCTCTCCTTGAGGAGGACACCATTCCCGTCGTACATGACCATGAGCATCGCCTCAACTTGCCCTATCGGGAAAGCTTTGAGCGTCGGAATGAAGAACTTCCAAGACATCTCAGCGTTCTCCATGCCCGAGATCTCCTTCAGGAACCAGATGGCCTGGTCACTTTTCACCCAGTTTCCAGCCTCACGTCCAGTCTCCTTCAGCACACGTTCCTCGAATAACTCCGAGACTCTCTTTGAATTGATGACCAGACCCTCGAAATCGCACGAGAGCAGTCTCATCAACTCCTTAGCCGCCTCCCGCCCTGCAACGGTGCCCACGGTCTCCTCGTAGTTCGGGAGGTATTCGCCCAACCTTGTCTTCGAGGGAACCACAATCTGGCAGGTAACGGCCTCATCAGGGATAACTCCAGTTTCCCTCAACTCTGGATTGATCTCCCGCCTATCGGCAAGATAATCCTTCCTCCCATCCAATATCACAAGAT